GGGTGATTCTGCACGCAAGACATCAGTGGTTTCGAAGTGCTCGATCATTGGTATCACCGTATTTTCATGCGAATACGTCCCTCGGAAAGATTTCGAACTGGCCTCTAGCTACTGCAGCATTACCCCACTCTCAGCTGTTGACCTAAAGCACATGCCGCACTAACTCACGAACACCCTTCGGCGACTCCCGAAGCCATTCCCTACTCGGGGTAGCGAAGTCAAGAACTGAATGGACAGTGAGTCCTGATCTCGAAAAGATAACCAACGGCTTACAGATTATTGAGGTAAAAGGATAAATGGCCATCGCTGGCAATCGATATGGCACTCGGTCATGTGGTATGGAAGGCGGTGATATGGACGTCATCGTCTATGATCAGTCAAGGATAAAGCCGTCACAGTACTAATAAAATGGTTTCTGGTTTGAATTAAATCATGCCAGATTTCAATATCTGTTCAGCAACAGAAAGCGGTCATGCAGATGTCCTGACGAAAGGGAATGCCAGTATGTATGGCTTAAGAAACTATCTTCATTGGCATTCAAAATCTGAACAACGGAAGCACTCAAACATGTGATTCGGGTCCAGAGCAAACTGGTATGTCGAATATTAAATATCGGTCAGAAGATTAAACCGCTATTGATTTTCAAGAATGCTTATCTACCATTTATGGTATAATTCAACGTCGAATTGTCAGATTAAACGGTCTGCAGGCGAAATGGCTATAATGCCGACTACGTGGGACTGAAGATGATATGGAAAACAGTATCTGCCAGTAAATCGCACTTTAGCGCCCACTGTACTGTGCAACGTCAGTGGCCAAACGTGAGAAACAAGTGTCGGCGCTAAAGAACATCCGCATTATGCAGTTACCTAGCTTTATAATGAATTACCGATTTTCATAGACACTTGGGTCACATTTTACACACGGGTCAAGTTTTTTACCTTAATATGACCACCGGAGAGATCTTCGCTTTGCTTAAGTCGGGTATCTACCATGCGCTTCAAGTCGCGCTGTATGCGACGACCGAAATCCTTGAACATCGTCGAACCGCCGCTGAGTACTACATTTTTGTACAGGCCACGCCGAACGTCGATTGGGCACTGTTGAATGACGGTATCGATTATTTCCGAAATCGGGATTAAGAACTCCGGATTTGCGTACTATAACCACAAATTAAAACACCATATACATAACATGTCGTGCAACCAGTGCTTTTGCGAATGCTGGTTAGATATAAACAGCAGTTCCCAAACCTTCGAGAAACGCCCCGTAGCACGGTTATGCCCAATGTCAGAGAAATACCCCGCTATTTTCATTGTCACAGAAATGTACTCTCTGTAGAATAAATAAACACAATTCTGAAACTCACTTTAAACGTGGAGCCACTTATTGTTCTTGTTTCCCTCCGCTGTCCTCCATTTCGATGTTCAGTTTCCATCGCTATTATTAACAGTAACGAATGCTAAACAAACCCAAAACTTGGAGGGGGACGCGAGAGCAGCTAAAGGTATGAAACTGCACAGTGCATCACCGGAAAAAAAGAATAGCTTCAATATATCGAGCTGTCTGTTAGGCAGAGTTCTCAAGGAATGAAACGATTGATTTTGATGACTACCCTTGAAAACGTAATGCCGATGAGAGGTAAGGTGCAATGATAAAGAGGCAACAACGCAAGACAGGCCATACCTCAGGGTGAAAGAAGATTTCGGGTCCTAAAAATCTTTCATATCCTACGTCGGCAAAAAATTTCTGCTTCGTTATGCTGTTGATTCCTTCGTACTGCTTGAACCATTTCGAAGGTTCGGTGTCGTACTTAGCGAATTCTTTCGCAACGTCTGGGCAAACATAGCAAAATCGTTCCTAAATCGACTGACGAATATAAACACAGAAGAACCCTTACGGCGCACCTTAATCGCCTTCGCTGTCTCCAACGACTGCTCTGTTGGAATTCCTGTTTCCCGCTCTCGCAACAGTCCTTGAATAAAGTAAGTAATGTCGCGGCCGGCAATTGGAATGTGCTTGATGCAGGAACCGATCACGTAACCTTCTGCCTAAAACAAAACATTGGAAGCCACGCTGATGAAACTACAATCTAAATTTAAAATGTAAATTTAATCAGAGCGTCTCAAAATTGAACAAACGCCTGTTGCAGATTCACAAACGTTAGACAACTAATTTACTCTTCGAAAGGAAAATGCATATTGTTTAGGAAAGCATACTGTCGACAGCCTTTACAATTTTATGAGGATACCATTTGCAAAATCATTCATTTAGAAAGCTTATAACGCGACAATTCTGAGTCAGACCGTGTCACGAGTGCCTTAATCTGCAGTCATGTATTCAGCACGGGCGCGACCTTCAATTTCTTCGCACTTCTTTCAAATGTAACTCGTTTATCTTACCGGAAGCGTATAAGACAACAGGCACGCACAGAGTCCGGACCCTTTTATTCTCAGCATCCATTAAGGGCGAGATGCTAAGCTCTTAAGATACAACGATATTTTCAAGAATATTGTGAGCCTGAAGGGGTGTGGCTTGTAATGGTGTATGATGGCAGTTAAAAATCTGTGAACTGGTGCTTAACAAGTGAACTATCGCAACTACAGTATGATGTTCGCAGAAGCCTGAATTTCGACATTAATAAGGAAGCCTCGAACATTAACTGTCCATCAGCATCTTACACTGACTTATCAGATCTAGCAATGATGAAAAACATCCAGCATTTTTTCGTATACTGTTTGTCGATAAGTGCTGACCATCTTTGTTGTACTTCGCGTCCTTTACTGCTTATAAACATGCTTTGGTCTTTTGGTTTTTTATAGCATGTGTTTGACAATATTCTAAACTACAGAGAAAATAAACTACCTTCGCTATTTTCTAATGCGCCGTTGAAGACCTGCAATTTTTTGACTGCATGCTAATCGAATTCCCTGAACCTTTATGGAAACATTAAGTACGCTAACTTAAGTGACGTCAGCATTAACCTTATGCTGAAGAAAGGAAAGAATATTGCTGTAAGATCCTAAAGCTCCATTTAATAAACATTTTTCTCTAGGCTACTAACCATTTATTTATCTGCTATTATTAGGAACCTGCTGATGTACTTGCGAACTGAGTTTCGTGATCTTGTCGATTAGTGAGCAGAGTGCGTGTTCTGCGTGAGAGAAACCGTGAAGTCACATCTAGAAAATTATCCATGGCTGCTGCAGCGAATGTCATGGCTGGTCAAATGACGGCTACATTTACACAGAACTCTATCGACGCACCTACATCAAGTCTGCGTATTCCATTTCTGTACGACATGAATGATAGTTTACGGCATACGGCGCCGAATCATTAGATTAGGAAGGACCAAGGTGTAGGCTTAGCGCGTAGCTAACAGAAAAAAAATTATCGCCAATTGATACGAGCAAATCTACAGGGTCACAACTTCAGCAAGAACTGATCTACTCGCAAAAGATGATATATACGATTCAGCTACATGCCGCTTTCCAGTCATGTGGCAAGATTGGGTAATGACATCTAGTCCGTCATACACATGTCACGAGCGAGGATGCTGCGCTCCACCGCGTGGTCTAGTAAGTCTTTGAACAGACACCAATCAGCTCAGCAAATTAAACCATGGTCCAACCGTATAGCCGCTGATGATAGTCTTAGCATAGCTTGAAGACAGTCTTGCGGACAGACAGCAGTTCCAGGTTCCCCGCAGGTTCATGATGATACAGCAACGGTGTCAGAGAGGTATATAGCAGAATCACGGACCAGACAATGAATATTCAGTAACAGTAACGAAGCAATAAAAAAATATGCGGCTGGGTTTTCGCAAAAAACAGAAAAGTGGCGTCAACATCTGGTGCTCATACCACCGGTATACAGTGAGTTAAACCATCGCCGCTGTCGACCACGAGACCGGTCAAGCTTCTGTCGGTGCGTTCCATGCCTGGCCATGATGCTGCCAACGCTAGAACTGCCTACAGACGATAGAGACATTAGGAAAGTCAGACACCATTTGCGTCACCATTCACCTGCACAGCAATATACAGTCCCGGTACGTTGAAGGACTCGAACATGATCTCAGCCGTGTATTCCCGATTTTCAGGCGTGTTCAGGGGTGGTTCCGTCTAGAAGGTTCATTTCTCTGAGCTTGATCGAAACCGATAATTACCGCACTTGAGTCATACCAACAAAAAATAATGGTCCTCCGGTTCGGCTCTAAGATACTTGAATATACAGTGTTCCCAGTATCGCTCCATCAAATCCCAGTCTTCTACTATACCATGACGGATTGGATACTGAAAATAACAGCGTAAGTTCCCTACCACATTAACACAAATGTCATGGCGCAAAACATAGCAACGCGAAACAATGCGAACGGTGTCATACCTTTAAACAGTAGTTCGCTGCCGACAACGCTTCGTCGCCAATATAAAAATCAAGATCGTCCACGCCCCGCGCCAACCGTCTCTGAGCTTGATCACCGACCGAACATGACTCTTTAATCGCTATTGCTAAAAACGGTGGTTAAACGTCGCATGCTTCTAAGTCACTGAAGTTTGAATGTTACTGGAAGGAATGATGTACTGCGGTTCCAAATTGCCTGCATAGCCGAGTTTGGTGTACCTTAAAAGGTAAGGACTGACCAATTATTCAATTAAGCCAAACAATCGCAACACATTATCAAACAGATGGAAGCAAAAATTACCATAATCCTTTTCCTGAAATCAACAGCAACTTCAGGTAGCGGATATATGTTTTTCAGAGGTCCAGCATTCGAGGGGCCATCTTCGACCGTTATGAAGGAAAATAATGATAAAAAATAAATAATAAATGATAAAGTCATATAACCGAATGAAACTTAGAATGCATTCTTCTTCAAAAAGAAATGCCAAATTCTACAACCTCCCGAAGAGGTTTCAAAAGTCGATGAGATCGTCTACAGGTAAATGAATTCCCAAATTTTAATTCCATCGATCTCGTTTCAGCAACGTTTCGGAATGTTCGGACAAAATTACATTAGGAAAATTGCATTAGGAAAATTTTAAAACTCGACCATCAATTAATTATAGTCTCCTAAAAAATTAAAGAAAAAGCTAAATGACTAAGTTAACTATACACTGCGGCGTTGGAAAATCGAATAGTCTAAAGAAGAATATCAAAACTGCGAGACGGTAAATACCACCCGACTTCGACCAGTGCCGATGTAGGTCCCAATGATTTTGTCTACCGCTTCTATCGCTGGAGACATGACATCTGTCAGCATGGAGACGTGCTTCCGTGAGTTATTCAACACTATCCTCTGAAACAGCAGTGCCCTTGGTAGAGATGAAGGACTCACTGTAGAAGAAAAGCGAAGTTCAAGACATGCGGTAAGATATCTTACTAACCTCGCATTTGCATACGATATTGCATACGTGATTAGCACGAGCAGAAGGCTATCTCGCATGACGACTTTCGCATGCAACACTGCTGCAAAAGTCGGCTTCCCCTTAACGCACGGAAGACAAAAGTTATCAGAACTCCATCATCTACGGCTGATCGACAAAAGGTATAAAGAGGGAAAACAGTCATGTAAATTAATAAATTTAAGTGTCTCGGCTCAATCATCTCTAGTGATGGCACCATCTAATCAGAATTAAATAACAGGATCGCAAGTGCCTTAGTAACCTGTCTCACATTTGGGCTGAGCAAGGAGAGTATCCTTCCAAAAAAATCTGCCAGTACCTCGTCTCTATCAGGTTGGTGTTGTTTTAGGGCACTGAAACAGTTGTTTTAGTGAATGACCAAGAACGATGACTCTGTTCCCTTCCGTGCACACGTAATTTCTGTAAATGTGGAGATTACGAAAATACTGACCTTGTCAGACGAACTGATTTAACAGAAACTATCTACTTCAATCCATTAAGTTCTGGCGTCGGATGCGAAATGCGACAGCATCTGCCACTTGGAAAAACAATTAAGAAGTAGATCTGCTTTCGGAGAGGAATATAACGATGCAGTAGCAGGTGCTTTATAGCAAAAGTGTTGCAAAGCGGCGAACACAGGGCATTACGAAGCAGAGATATTCGGCACATACAAACGGCTCAATGTGATGCTCGCAACACGCACACGGGTTAATGCAAGTGAAGCCAACCCGGGAAAAGAATCTTATGAGAGTTCCAACCTTCAATGTGAAACCGGAAGGGCACCATAAAGATACATGAATGTCTCAAATCGACCTGTCTCTCAAGCACGACAAGGTTGCCGTGATATCAACGGGCATAAATGTTGTCCTGCGCCATACTGGAAACGGTACGGATGACAACTAACCCAGCTGACTAAGTGCTCCCCAGACAATTTGAAACGCTCAGATATCATTTATTGTTTTATTTTTTAAGCCAACTGTATTATTCCCAGTGATGTGGAAAATATTCAAAGCTTTTTCATACATCATGTGACAACCTCCCATTTTCGACGTCAATTTTCAACGTCTGAAGATTTTCAACTGCCTCATTTTTCGCTACGCAGTGACGATTTACCTACGGCATTCGTGAAGGATAAAGGCAAAATAAAGCAAAAACGTGGTATCTTCTAGATCCATGGTTTGAACCACAGACAGAAAAAGATGATTTCATTTAGACAACCACCTTAATACAGACAATAACGCAATTTCAATATCTCAGTTTGCCTCAAGGTAGAAATGTTGAATAACTGAAAAAAGAACGAGCATAAAAAACAGACCAACACAGGATGAGGGTTTCAACAAACGCCCCACACACAACACCTCAAAGAAACGACAGGTTCATATCACCAGCACTACAATCAAGGCTCTGAAACGGGCTTTTCTCACAGGTAACCATGTAGTGCTTTCTCTTTTCTTCTACATGCTACATGATTCGGCTGAAAAGCAGGCTCAAGCCTGCTAATCTACGTATCATAAAAATTTCTTTTTTCGCAAGGTCACTTCAGAAGATTCCATAAACGGAAACTGAAGCATCTAGCTACGCTGGACCTAAGCGCTCGTGGCGACCAAAACAGAACGAAAAAGTAAGTAAATAAGTCCCCGAAACAACATCGAACAAAGTCGCTACTTTTACCTCACAACTGAAAATTACCGCTAACTTGAGCAGTGGTGGAAATAAGCCGACTAAAAATGAACATCAAATTTGGAAATCCCTATATGCTGATTCACTACGTTTCCCTATTCTGTTAGGAACAACAAAACAATGGATTGACGGTTCAAGCACATACAGTGACACTGATGAGGAAAGTGAAAAAACTAAATATGCCAAAAATATTATGCACAAATCTTACCCTGTCCCATTATCAATTATCACGGCTGGAAGAGTTCTATTCATCTTCGTAACGGTATAAGTTTAAGTCATGCTTAATCACAAGCGGGTTACATGGATATACAGTAATTCTGTAATTGCTCTCAAGTAAGCATACACACATCACATTAAGATGAACACCTATTCACTCTTTTAACGTAAGCGAGGGTAGTACATGAATATAAATGTTAATTTTC